TGTGAAAAGAGCAGCAACAAACATGGATGTACAAGTGTCTCTGCAATAGGATGAGTTCTTTGGGTATAACTGGGTCACATGGTATGTTCATTTGTAGTTTTTTTGTTTGTGTTTTTTTTTTTTTTTTTTTTTTGAGACAGGGTCTCCCTGTAGCCCCAGCTGGCCTGGATTCCCTGTGGAGACCAGGCTGGCCTTGAACTCACAGAGATCCACTTGCCTCCCGAGTGCTGGGATTAAAGGTGTGTGCCACCACGCCTGGCTTTACTTCTTTTTTTTTGAGAACTCTCTGTTCAGCTCCTTAGCCTATCTTTTAATTGGGTTACCTTCTTTCTTGAGTCTTTGTTTTTTGAATTTGTTATATATTCTGGGTGTTAAACCTCTGTCGGATGTGTCACTGGTGAAGATTTTCTCCTATTCTATGGGTTTTCTCTTTACTTCCTGGTAAAATATTTTTTAAAAATTAAAAAAAAAAGGAGGACAGAGCTGGGCATGGTGGTGCACACCTTTAATCCCAGCACTTGGGAGGCAGAGGCAAGTGGATCTCTGTGAGTTTGAGGCTAGCCTGGTCCAGGACAACTGAGGCTATAGTAAGGAGGTGCAGGTGGGAGGGTCTCAATAGGATCAAAATACATTGTATGAATGACAGAATGTGTGAACTCCAATGGGGGGGACTATGGGAGGTGCCAAACGGGAAGAGAAAGGGGGTATAGAGATGATTTTATGTATGAAATACACAAAAATTCAATAAAAATACATTGTATGAAATTCTCAAAAATTTAATAAAAAATTTTGAAAAGAGCCTAGTTCCAAATGTGTCCCTTTGAGGAATCCACAGACTCTTGTGATGCTTCTGCGGCCTGATACTATCTGAACAAACACCTGGTCTGTTCTGAACCCTGTGACCGCTCTGCAGGGTGTCCCAGCCTTTGTAATAGTCTTTGACACCTCCTTTTTCCTTGTTCCCCAGGTTTAGTGGGGTGCAGTTCTTCTGCTTTGTTCACCCCTGACTGGTAGAGTCAGCCTATGGCCATTAGGGGCAAGGGGCCCTCAGAAGTCCTACAGGACTATGTGCGCTTCCTTTTCTACCTTCTTGGGTTGATAGACATCATAAGGCCAAGTATTGGCTACCCAAACAACAGAAAAATCTACCTGATTCATAAGAACAAGATTAATTATAGCAAAATTTGCATGTGATTGCCAGAGGCAATATTAGAGTAGTTTAGTTGTCTATGCTTGCACAAATGTATTCTAAAAAATATTTATTATTTTTATTTTATGAGTGTATTGCCTGCATGTATGCAAGTCATACATGTTGTACAGTGCCTGCAGAGGTCAGAAGAGGGCATCAGATACCCTGGAACTAGAGTTATAGACAATTTTTAGCTGTCATGTGGGTGCTGGGAATTGAACCTGGGTCCTCTTAACCAGTGCTCTTAACCACCGAGCCATCTCTTCAGCCCCACAAATGTATTTTTTAAACGATGACATAGTCCTGAGTCAGTCTACCCTCAGGGGTTGCTGCTGGGGGGAAAGCCCTTAAATTCTTTTTAAAGAATTTTTGGTGACATCGTATTTAAATTTTTTTCTTTTCACATATATATATGTATGTGCTGTGTGTGTGTGTGTTTGTGTGTGTGTGTATAGGTGTGTATGTGCATGCATGTGTGCATGGATTCTCAAAGTTGATGTCTTCCTTGATGGCTTTTCACATTTTTTTAAAGATAGGGTCTCACTATGTGGCCCTGACTACCTCTGTCTCCAGGTGCTGAGATTAAAGGCTCGTGCCAAGCCTGGACCTACCTTATTCTTTTCGAGACACAGTCTTTCAGTCAAACTGAGAGCTCACCAATATGGCTAGCCAAGGTATGCAGCTTGCTCTCAGATCCCCTGTCTCCACCCTCTGAGGCTGGAATTATAGGTGAACCAACACGCCCACCCAACATTTACATGGACTCTGAGGATTCAAATTATGGCCCCCTTGCTTACATAACCAGTGTTTTAACCACTGAGCAATCTCCCCAGCTCTGAGATCCCGTTTTACAGTCTGTAGTGGGGAGTTGCTTGAGGTTCATCCCTGCCCTCCTTCCTAATACAGAGGTCCCAGAAAGTGTTAACCACTCTTCGATATTAATTCAACATTGTTGTGGCAAACACAGTGTTAGATGCCAAGGATCTAGTAGTGGGTAAGACAGATGTAGAGTCTGCCCTAATGATCAAGTATAAGTGACAGATATGAAAAGCAGTTTGAGAGTCTGGTAAGATGGCTCAGTGGGTAAAAGTGACTGCTGCCAAGCCTGAATTCAGTCTTTGTGACCCACATGGCAGAAGGAGGGAACTGACTCTTGCAAAATGTCCTCTGATCTCCACACACACACTGTGGCACCTACTTCCCAAATAAATAAATGTAATAAAAAAAAAGTAGTTGAAAGCTGGGCATTGTGGCACACATCTGTAACCCCTGTATTCAGAGGCTAAAGCAAGAGACTCATGTGTTCTAGACCAGCCTCAGCTATATAGAGAGACTCTGCCTCAAAACACACAACCATAAACAAAAGCCAAAACAAAACAAGAAAACCAAGTTGATCTGGAGGAGTGGTCCAAAGTGGTAACCTGGAGCTTAGAGCAGAGAGGTATAATCAGGTCTCAAATCTGACAAAAAAAAGAGAGAGAGAAATGATTCTGGGCATGTAAACATGATTAAAGATCCAGAAAGAACTGACCAAGTCTAGTGTGGGTATGAAAAAGGGTGGACATGGATCCATGTAGAAGCCTGGCATGAATCATGCTGAGTCATCACCCTTATGCTAAGAGCTGTGTGAAGCCATTGGGTATTTAAGCAAAATGGTGACAGGTCTAGGTTTAAAAGATCACCTTGGGTGTTGTATCAAGAATGAAATGTGGTCCGTGCAGGTGAGGTCCATGGATGAAGGTTTCTTGCAGCACATGAGATGTGAATTGAGTGTTAAAAGCAGTGGTGAACATTGTCCATTTCAACCTGACCCTTGACAGGTATGTGGACCCTCTGATCTTGGAATGTGCAAAAGTCCCACACCTTCTGCTGTTCTTCACACCCCCTTCGTTTGCCTGTTCCGAGCAGCTTCTATGATTCTAAGGAGTTTCCATCTCTTTGGTCTACTCTCTTCTAGTTCCTTTTCTGCTTGAGAAGGAAAGGGTTTATTTTAACTTACAAGTGACAGTCCATCCTCGAGGGAGGCCAAAGCAGAAACTCAAGACAGAAACCTGGAGGCAGGAAATGAAGCACAGACCATGGAGGAACGCTGCCTACTGGCTTGCTTCCCTGACTTGCTCAACTACTTCTCTTATACAGCCAGGCCCACCTGGCCAGGGTGGCACCGTCCACAGTGGGCTGGACGCTCCTCCATAAATTAACAACTAAGAAAATGCTTCATGGATAAGGCCAGTTTGATGGAGGAAATTCCTCAGTTGAGGTTCTTTCTTTCCAGGTGACTAATAGTGTCAAGTTGGAAAAAACTAACCAGCATCTACTCCTTGGTTCTCATTCCCACTTCAAGCTCCTTTGCTTTGCTGGCCAATTTGGACAGCAAAGCCCTCAGCATCTGTCTCCTATCGCTATGTTTATGCTTTGGCCCTCTAACCTGAAGGATATTAGCTTCTGGCTAGTCTAGTTTGGGGGGATGCATCCTGTTTGCTCAGACCCTAGAATGCTGCCTGAGAACAGTACATGCTCAGTGTGCGTTTACTCTGTGTATGACTATGCAATCAGGCTGTATACAGGTCACAGTGGCCTCCACCACAAGCAAAGGACAGATGAGGAACAAATACATCAGATCCAATAATCTTAGCTAAAACAAACAAGTTCAGATATTAGAGCATATGAAAGTTATGAAAGTGACAGCTTTGTAGCGTCATGAGTTAAATTGGATCTTTGAGCTCAAAAATTGTATATATTTTCATTTGCATATAACTATATACAAACACAAGTATGTCTATTTTTGTTTGTTTTTGCAGCACTTCTGTGCATGGTAGGCAAGTGCTCTACCTCTGTGCTGAGTCCCCAAGCCTGTTTTACTTTGTATTTTGAGACAGGGCCTCGCCAAGTTGCCCAGGTTGGCCTACAACCTTGTGACCCTCCTGCTTCAGCCTCCTGAGTAGCTGGGATCACAGGCCTACCTGCATTCCCCAGGCCTGCCTCTTATTTTGTTCTGACACCTTGTTTCAGCTTCAGCTAGCAATTCAAGATAGTTGCAATAGTGGGCAGAATTGTGTAAGAAATATAAACCTTTTTCTTTTTCCCAAACACAAATTATAATAATATATGGATTGAACTATATAATTTTTTGGCCCTTTAGAGTTCAACATTTATAAGATTTTCTGATACTATTATAGATATTTTTTTTGGTCTTTTTCAGACAGGGTCTCCCTGTAGCCCCAGCTGGCCTAGAACTCACAATGCAGACCATGCTGGCCTTGAACTCACAGAGATCTACCTGCCTCTGCCTCCCGAGTGCTGGGATTAGAGGCATGCGCCACCACAATTTTTTAATGACATCATTTAAAATATTCAGCAAGATTTGTAAACAATAAAGGAAAAGTGCTGGTGTCTTGAACAAAAATTGAAGCCGGGCTTGGTGGCACACCTTTATAATACAAGCATTTGGGAGGTAAAGGGAAGAGGATTGTGAGTTCAAAGCTAACTTGGGCAACAGAGTGAGACCTCACTCTTAAAAAATAAAAGAACCTGGTGTTGGGGATTTAGTTCAGTGGTAGAGCGCTTGCCTAGCAAGCACAAGGCCCTGGGTTTGGTCCTCACCCCTGGGGAAAAAATAAATAAATAAAACAACCCCTCCCAACAAAACATACAAGACAACAAATTCTCCCTTTCCCCCAAATACTCTCCCCCAAATAAAACCCCATAAGCACTAAGAACTGAAATGCAGTATTAACTCCTGCAGTGGGCACAGGGTAGTCTGTCCCTTTCCAGTATTCTTGAAGACTGTCCACTTTTCTTCCCGTTCTAGTGCTGGAATGCAGCCTTTCCTGGGTCATTGCTGCTGACAAATGCAGAATGGTACTCTTCATTGGAAGTTTCTTGAAGCTTATGGGCAGACCAGTGAAGCAGAAAAACTGTTCTTGAGTGTTGAGGACATATTATTGCAGGTAAAGTAAGAAAAATGTAAATCCACAAACTTTATTCCTTTGATGTTTTTCTAGATGCCATTGACCTCAATTCCTCTATAATCTAGTCTACACTAGGGGAGCCATTTGATTTGTTCATCAGAAAGGAAGTTATGATTTTTTGTTGTTGTTGTCGTTTATTTTTATTTTTTTAATCTTTACAAAAACTGAGAATTTCATGCATGCATATAAGGTGTTTTGATCAAATCCATGCCCACTCCCTTCCCTCCAACATTCCCTCCTCTGAAGAGGTAACCCTAAAATCTTTTAAGGATTAGGTACAAGCTCCCAAATACTTTTGACATTTTTGGCCTTTGGAACAGAGTATGTTGCTAACAGGCCCAAGGACATTTTCACTTTTAGCCAAGAAACTGGATAAATTTCTTTGGAGTCTTTTTACCCTAGCTGCCTAGCCAATTCCTACGAAATGGACACCACAGGAAAATTCCAAACACTGAAGGAAAACATCATTTCAAATCCACATAAGCTTTTCCAAAAACATAAAAGTACACATTTCCAAGTTGGTTTTATAAGGACTACAGCAGGAAAGGTGAAAAGTACAAGGGAAGCTTATTACAAGAATAAATGAAATACTTAATTTAAATATTAACAGAGTCAAGCAATGCATAAAAATGATAATAAGTTATACAAAATTCAG